AAGTCAAATCTTCTTAGATGCAAACAGCCTAATTGCTTCCCTAAGATTGATTTTACTTATTAAAATTTCTATATTATTTAACATTAGAATCAAAAGCTCTAAAAATCTCATCGTATTTAAGGATGTATCAGATGTACAATTTCTGCAAAAAATAACTGGGATTCGAAATTCATATTTTCCATATAAAAATATTATACACGTGAAATAAAAATTCAATAAGATTAATATTTATATTCAATAATTTTATAGTTTACATAAAAATTTCCTTTTTTTTATCTTAATTATATTTTATTTAAACATATCTATTTCTTATTAAAATAATTTTTGATCTAGGTTCTAAATCATCGCCAATCTTTTTGTATTATAATTTTCACATATAATATAGAAATATATGTAACTTTTTTATAATTTTTTTTATTTTGTTGTTATAAAATAAGAATAATTTAACTTTATTATTAAAAAATCATTGTTTTAAAAATAAAAGACGTTGAATGGCAGGTTTATTTTCGCCGATAATGTATCCGAATTTAATTTAATAAAATTAAGACCTTAATTAATCGGGAGATAAAAAAATTCACTGAATGTGTAAAAGAAAAGTGTTAAATTATTTAAACAATTTATTTAAAATAGAACTAATAAATAAGAACGTAAAAAATATACACGAATCTCTCAATCATGAATACGAGTGTTAAAATAAAAGTTGTTCCTAAAAAGTTTCATAAGCCAGAACGAATGAGTGTAACGCATTTCCCGGTAATGCCATTAGCTTTATCAGTTGCCTCGCGGTCCAGCTATTTCATCGACAGGACTCTCCCGCTTTAGCATTCCCTCTCCTCTCTCGTACTTTCACGGAGCAAAAGTGACATCAGATAGATATTGACGAGATGGAGCATCGAACTGATTCGATGAGACCGACGAGACGCGCGATACAAATTATGGCAGGACTTTTCCCGCACTTGTATTTATGTTCCAAGCACGAACAGACCTATGACCGCAAACTCGCCCTAGATCGTCAACATTGGTATGAAAAAATGACTGTATGAAAAAAAGAAGCTTTTTAGGCTGTTATCAAATTTATGAAACACGCAAATGGTAATTTTTCGCGTGATATAATACGAGCACGTGCGTACATCATCAAGCATTATCAAACGCGAAAGTAAAACAGTAATAAAATAGTCAGCCTACACTTTGCCGTGCAGAGGAAACATACTCTGATCATACTTTGCAAATGGTGCTGTTCTAAATTTCCGTCCTTCACTTTTGTTCGGCCTGCGAAAGTCGTCCAAGTGTGCGCACAGCACGATCGTGTACGCTCATCGTTAGGAGGACGCACGTGGGCGTGGACACGAACTTGTGTATACCCACGTATGTGCACCGTACGTAGGAGTCGAATTCCGAAATGGCGTCATGTACGTCCGCCAGCGCGCGCGTTCACGCCCGATGGTATCTCCAATGTGGGTCACACACATAGAACGGAGAAGTCCAGCCGCTACGAGCCGGAAACTCTGCATTCAAAGCCGAATGGAGGACTTTCGATAAAGAACGAGAGAGAGAGAGAGAGAGAGAGACGAAGAGAGAAAAGAAAGGAAGAGAGAAAAAGGGGGGAGGGTGGAATTAGGGGTAGGTTTCGAGATAGAGATAGCAGCGAGCTCTGATATCTCAACTCCATTTCTAGGCTTCTACCTCGTGCTACGAGTCGCGAACAAATGTGTCACGCGTCCGACTTCCTTTTCTTTTCCCTCTTCTTTCATCCGCCTTCTTTCATCCCTACTCCACTACCCTCGATCCTTCGGAACCACGTCGTGTCACCTGAGGGCCAGGCATATATTCTCTGCCGGCTGGGATCGACCAAGTTTTCCAATAAATTTCTATATCCGCCGGCTGCATCTGCAACGGACGACCCGGGACCGTCTTATTATGCGACCATTCGGTGATGCCGAATTTCCCTCCTATCTCGATCCCTCCGTCGTCGGATGATAAGCGGCATCGGTTCTCCCTGTAGACGATTGCTCCATCGCAGACTTTAGTGTTCCGCGCGGTATGCACATTTGACCGTGACAAGGAATTTGATTCGCCGTAATGGAAAGACATTATCGTGATCTTCATGCGTGGCGTACTTGTTTTGATTATGTTAAAGTAATTATGATTACGGATCAAAGTATCAACAGTAAAATCTATTTGCTATTATACTATTTGCAATTTAAACACACTCGAAAAATGATAGTATTTGACAATTATTTCTATTACCATATATTTATCATTTCACTTTTTAAATTTAATTATATAATACCACATATTGTAAGAACTTATTTATAGATACTGAAAAAAAAAACATTTTTTTAGACTTCTATTGTCCATTTATAAATTATGAATATATCACTAAGAGAACAACAATAATAAAGACATATTAGTAAAATAATTGGCTGTCGAAAATAATTCTCGTTATTTAACTAAAATGGTTAAAGCGATAATAACTTTATTTTAGAGCTACAATGATTCTGTTAATTTTACGATACAGTTTAGCTCGAAAATGAGATAACTGAAAATTTCCAACCTATTAACTATTATATTATTCTGCTTATTAGAATCATTTATTATTACTTCCTTATGACAAGCCATTTAGAGCAACCGCGCCGAAATTGGAATCCAAAATAGCGCGTGTATTCTATTTGCCAGCTCTCTAAACTCGATGAATCATCGTAACCGAGATGAAGTAACCCGCACAATAATATGTTTTAAACATTTTTCAACAAGGACCAATAAAAGCTATTATAATTAAATAAACCGAAATTCTTGTCTGAGAGACAGAGAGAGAGAGAGAGAGAGAGAGAGAGAGAGAGAGAGAGAGAGAG